AAGTAATAATTTTATCTGCCACAGCCTCCACATTACCATCAGGTGGACTGTGTGCTCGTTTGTCACCCTTATTCTATAAAAAACAATCTGTGTACCTGTCCCATGCATTTGCCATTTATTTAAAAAGGAGGGATCAATGAAAATATTTTAAAAAATTAAAACGATTTTTAAGAGGCCTTACGCCGGCCGCATATGTTTTGCGCCTTTTATGTATGTACACACATGTTATATTAATTTGTAACATAAATTATAATTGAAAAAAAAAATGGAAAACTTGCCTACGTCACGCTCGGTCACTGCTAGGCAGGGGCGGACTGTGAATTTGTGGGGCTCTGGGCACGAGCTTGGGGCCCTACCAAATTAATCGAACTAATCAAGTCAAAAAACAGTTTTCTGTAATGATGTATTATACGGTCTGGAAAAAAATATATGACTATGATACATAAACAGCAACTGTAAGACATTATTGCATAAGATATTAACATGTTATGTGTTCATCATCATCATCATTACAGCCCTTCACAAGTCCACTGCTGAACATAGGCCTCCCCCAAGGTATGCCACAAAGCAAGTTCCTGAGCCAACTGCATGTCTTACCGACTTCCTGTATGTCTTACCAGGTCGTCACTCCATGTAGTGGGGGGTCGCCCTACATTTCGCCTACCGGTACGTGGCTACCGCTCGAGAACCTTTTTTCCCCAACGGTTGTCGGTTCTTCGAGCTATATGGCCGGCCCATTGCCACTTCAGTTTACTAATCCGTTGGGCTATGTCGGTTCTCTCTGCGTTGCGTGCGTCTCTCACTCTGGTTCTACTGCGTATATCCTCATTTCTAAGTTTATCACGCAGAGAAACTCCGAGCATAGCCCTATCCATAGCTCGCTGAGCGACTTTGAGCGTCCTCATACGGCCAGCAGTGAAGTACCACATCTCAGTTCCATATGTCATCACTGGCAACACGCACTGGTTGTACACTTTAGTTTTCAGAGATTGAGGTATACCTGACGAGAAGATGTGTCGTAATTTCCCGAACGCTGCCCAGCCGAGTTGAATCCGTCGATTGACCTCTCGGTCGAAGTTGGACTTACCTAGTCGGACTATTTGTCCCAGGTAAACGTACTCGTCAACAACTTCGAGCATAGTGCTCCCAACAACTACCGGCATAGGTGTGACATGGACATTAAACATGATCTTTGTTTTGTCCATGTTCTTCTTAAGGCCTATCCGTTGGGAGGCACTATTGAGGTCATAGTGCTTAAGTCCTCCAGCGATTCTGCTATAAGACTATTTCGTCGTTTGCATTCGAAATTGAGTGATGTACTCGCCATTGATGTTAATTCCGTATCCTTTCCAGTCCAGTAGCTTGAAAACATCTTCCAATGCATCGGTGAAGAGTTTCGGGGATATAACGTCACCCTGTCTTACACCTCTCTGCAGTTGGATAGGTTTCGTACTTCCGTTCTGTACTCGAATAGCCATGGTAGTACCTACTGTACAAACACTTCAGCACTTCGATATACCGACAGTCAACTTGGCACCGCTGAAGAGACTGTAGCACCGCCCAAATTTCGACGGAATCAAAGGCTTTCTCATAGTCCACATACGCCAGGCAAAGTGGCAGATTTTACTCTTCGGTCTTCTGTACAATTTGCCGAAGGGTATGTATGTAGTCTATGGTACTAAAGCCTTTTTGGAAACCGGCTTGTTCGGGAGGCTGGAAGTCGTCGACTCTGCGTGCGAGAAGATTCGTAATGACTCTCGAAAACAGCACGTAGACGCGGCTCAGAAGGGATATCGGTCTGTAGTTCTTCAAGAGGGCGTTGTCACCTTTCTTGAAGAACAAGACCACCGCACTTCTGCTCCACGCCTCGGGAGTAGTGCCTCCATGAAGGACGGAATTAAAGAGCTTCTGAAGGACTTCAAGTACCGGTTTTCCACCCGCTTTCAGAAGCTCCGCTGTAATTCCATCCTCGCCCGGGGACTTGCCGTTTTTAAGGTGCTGGAGAGCCATTCTAATCTCGCTCAGACTGACGTCCGGGATATCATCGGAATAGTGGCGGATAAGACTTGCTCTTGAATCGTTACTCACGCTTGCGTGTGGCTCCAACGATGATGTGTACAGCTGCCCATAGAACCGCTCAATCTCACTCAGAATCTCAGGTGTCCCAGAAACGATGCTGCCACACTCAGTCTTCAGCTTTGACAGTTGGTTCTTACTGGCAGACAGATCTCTGGCAAAGACTTTGGTGTCCTGGTTCCGCTTAATCGCTTCTTCCATACGAGCTGTATTGAAGTTGGGTAAGACCTGCCGCATGCATTTGGAGATCTATCCGTTCAGTTGCCCGTGTGCTGTCAAATCTGCTGACGACTGCAGCTTCATCGCCCGTCTAACATCCATGAGATTAAGAGTATGATCGGAGAGTTTTTGTGTTCTTCTGAACCGCCCCGCCTTTTATTAATTTTTTCGCCAAACCCCCCCCCCCCCCCCCTTTTTTCCCCCCCCCCCCCCCCAAACAACCTTCTCGTAGAACAAAAAAACCAGGTCCACTTCCTATCAAAAAAAAGGGGCCGCTTCTGGAAGAAAGAGTTTATCATAAAGAGTCCCTCTTTCTCCATAAAGTCGGCCAGCTGCTGGCCCCTACGGTTCCGTTGCCCTACTCCAAATTTTCCTAACTTCAACCCACCGCTTTCTCTTGTGCCTAGTTTTGCGTTAAAGTCTCCCATCAACACCGTGTAGTGGGCTTTGAGGGAATGCATGGCTCTAGAAATATCCTCATACATTTCCTCCACCTCCTCATCGGGATGTGCCGAGGTTGGTGCGTAAACCTGTATAACCGTCAGAAAATACCGTTTGGTGATTCTGAGTATCAGGTACGAGACTCTCATCGACACACTTCCAATATTTACAACGTTGTTGACGAAGGACTTGTGAACGATAAATCCGACACCTCCTTGGCCCTCCCAAACAAGTTGCCGGACTCGAGGATGACCGTGTCCTCCCCCTCTCTTCGGACCTCGGATAATCCAATTATATGCCAGCGCAAACTTGTCTACCTCTTCTTCCAACTCCAGTATCTTCTCGTCAGTCCTCAGGGTGCGTGCGTTATATGTTGCCAGGTCGAGTCGTCGTAGGTGGCAACCGAAAATCCACCGGAGATTCTTATCACCCCTTGCCCCGCTGTTACCATGGTCGCCACCGTAGCCAGGAATAGCGGGGCCGCCGGGGACTGGGGGCCGTTTGTTTGCGTCGTTACTCATGGGGGGATATTTGCCATATTGCCACGCTTGGCGAGCGGGTTGGCAACCGCAGTTTTTATTATATTATTGTTGTTATCGGGAAGATGCTGCTGCCCATCTCCTGCCTGTCTCCCTCTGTCGCCTCTTACGACACCCACGGGACGATATGGGGTAGTGGATATTCTCAACCGCCACTAGACGGCAATATGTGTATATGTTAAATAAATTATGAAGACCTTTCTAGATTTTTGCGCTGCCAATTCCTTTATTTGCTTATCAAATTGTCAATGTTCTGTTAAATCACAATTTATGAAAAGGACTGATAAATAATTTAGTCGATTGTTCAACATTGTTTACCTACATTTGTTTTCTTTATATATGACATCCTGGAGAAACGGCGCACTGATTCACAGCTAGTGTTTGACAACGTTAAAAATTCTAGAAGATGACAGTAAACTAATTTGGGAAAACATCAACAAGTTTTTTTTTCTAGCTTAGTCTTTAGTAAGATTTTAACCGAATTCACTGATTAAATTTCTTACTATATGCTTCATAGACTTGACATTTTCTATTTAAATCCAAAATCCAAAACAGCTTATTCAACACGACGTTTAACGTTTGACTCTTTTGACTGAAGATTCTGCATATATTTTATTTATGTCAGTACCACTCTCGTATTTAAGTTTCAAGCTTTCTCCTCGTATATCTTTAATTTTTCATTCGATTGATGTCGATGTCGTTACTCACGAACTCTTTTGATAACATAACTAACTTTATGCCTTTACAAATATCCTCTTTAAAAATTTCTTCCAAAAAATAGTATCGGATTTAGCCACTTTTTAAATTTTGTTCCTCTTTTTGAAAAATAACTCTCTCATCCTCATTTCTACCAAAACTCATGAAATTTTCATAATATTATCATAATTATTTTTAAAGCTATGACAGTTAGTCTTCACTGGGGGCTGGGGGCCCTTTATATCCACGGGGCCCTGGGCTGCAGCCCAAAAAGTCTATATATAGATCCGGCCTTGCTGCTAGGTCACTGCTCGGCACAGTACTCGAATGTAGGGAGTGGCCACTCGAATGTTGGTAAACTATTTATCAACTCGTGGTTGAAAACTTAATAATGATTGTTAATTTTATTACGTATATGTCGTCAAAAGTCTTATTATTAAAGGCAAATACAGTTTATTGTTTACTCCTTCTTACATTTTAAAAATAAAAGTTGTAAAATTTAATATTTATATTATTTTTATGGCCTACAAGTATTTTTCTACAAGTTTATTCTTGTGAAATTTATGTATGTAAACATATACAAAAGAAAATCCTTGTATAGATGTAACATTTCTTTTAATACAGATTTTGTTTGGATCTGGTATTAGGGGCAGCCACTCCACAGGGAGTGGCTGCCCCTAATACCAGCCCCGCCACTAATACCAGCCTTTACGCCTTTTTACTTCAAAAATAAGGTTTCTAGTGATCTTAACTTAAAATATTGTCAACTAAAATAGTCTTCGTGATTAGAGGAAAGTGGATGCGCGATAAGCGACCAAAGATATGACGTGGAGGCCTACGTTCAACAATAGACTTTAAAAGGCAGTAACGGTAGAATAGGATCGGTTAAACAAAATAATTAAGAGTCAACACTTTACCATACATTACATATCAATATACCTATGGCTGTCCTTATCATTTTATAATTAATCACGGTTATCTCTAAAATGTGCATGATAGTGGTCGGTTTCAATATATAAGGTTTCAGCAATGCATTTACCTCCACACTGGGCAATTTGTAAAATGGCGTACAAAGTTGGGTTACTGCTGGCAACACTCCTTGTTGGGAGTTTAGGTAAGTACACAATGTTATACCAATTATTAATTCAGTACAACTTATAGAACGTCCACTCTGAAATCTCCCGAAGCAATGATCCAGAAGGTTACTTAAATATCTACCAAAATATAAAACAATGCATTCTCCAATTGAGTTGAAAACTAGACTCTGTTATTTCATTCTTTAGTAAAATGTAATGAATAAATTAATTATTAATATTAACTGAGATTAACGAATAAATTTTGGTGTTGGATTGGACACCGTGCATTTTTAATTGTTTTATGAATACTAAATATTTATTTACAGTTTTATCAGTCACATTCGTCTTCATTATACGATAAATAGATTCTTGCGATGTAACTTAGATACAGTAATTGTGATAATGTTTTCTTACATGTTTTTATTATTTGAGATTTTAAATTAAAAAAAAGATTTGAATAAACTTTATGGCGCGGAAAGACAGTTTATAGCAAAGAAAGTAAACTGAAGAACCTCGCCCTCCCCAAAGAGGAAGACCCGCCTGTCCCCTTACTAGTCCGTAACCCCACAATCGGGACCCTTGCTTCGGGCCAAAAAAAAACTGAAGAACCCTCACAGAGCCTTCCCAACTGAGTCAATATATAAACATGGCTGTCTCTTTGTCTGTCTGTCCAGAAACAATCAAACTGGGGGAATAGATAAAGAGTTAGTTACTGCCAATATACATCCCACGCTGACGTATTTTCACAGCGAGTGCTTAGCCCTCAGTTACCACTGCTATTTGGGATCAATAACTGTGCCACGAGTTATCTAAGCTCTATTGTATCCAAAAACATCGAAGATTTTAAAATGAAATCGAAAAGCTAATAAAAAATTGTTTTTGATGATTATTTCAAACTATAAGCGATTATGGCTTCATCACCATTCATCATAAAGTGGGACTGTGACTGGCTTTTTAAACTACTTAAAAGGTTCTGAATATATGTAGATTTTAAAAGTATTTTTTGATTTCAATTTCATTATACAACAAAACTAAGTTAAAGATAGGATGATTATTAGGTCTTTTTTTACGAAAATTTTTATATTGAACATTTTTCATAGTCACATATAGTTTTCGAAATAATAACAAAAGTCTGAGTTTAAAATGAAAACTTCTTGCTTAAAAACTTGTAAACAGTTTTACACAGACGAAGTTGCGAGTAAAAGCTAGTTATTAAATATAAAGGCTAAATATATGTGATTTCAATGAATCGATAAGCTCTCAGTGCATTGTTATTGTTTATCTGTGAATTGATATGACATCAGCATTAATCATTAGATTAACAGTGAACGGTTAACATTTATTTTTATTTTTGTTATTTTAAGGTTATATTATTTTTTCATATTATACTGGTCTTACGCAATTTGTAAGTTATTGGCGAATATGAGATTACGTGCCAAAAAAACCATAAGAGAAAACACCAGGAGAAACGATTTTCATAATAAAATCATCCCTCGTATGGTCATGACTAGGCACTGTTCTCAATATCAATCAGTACTTTAAACGCAGTGATTATATTATCTTTGTATAACAGATTACCTACTGATTTATGATTTAAAAAGTATGTTATACAAGAGTAGCTTCAAAAATACTTTTAAAAAGTTCCTACTGGAAAAATGTTATTATGATGTTGACGAGTTTCTACATGCTAATCTAAACAAATAAATAAAGTTGAGGGATCTGTTTATTATTTGAAAATAGCAGTTTTTTACTAAACGCATATGAAAGTACGGTACTTATAGCAAAAACACAATTCTTAAAATTTTTGTCTGTATGTTCCGGCTAATCTCTCAAATGGCTGGAGCGATTTTAACGCGAATTTCACTGTCGGTTAGCAGATGTTATAAGGAGTAACTTAGGCTGCTTTTATTTTAGGAAAATAATTAGGATTCCGCGCAAAAAAATTAAAACCATAAATTACACGTGGGCGAAGTCGCGGGCAATAGCTATTATATAATATAAGTACAAACTTCAATGTCTTAAGATTTTTTGGTGACATTTTAAAAATAATAGTAACTTTTCTGAAAAATATTATTATTATTTTGCGATATTTTATACTTTATTTTATCTATATCTATAGTAATGAGATTTGACCTGTAATTTTTATTGTAATTTTGTATAATTGTAAAATCGATTTGTAAGCATTTTAACTGTATTTTTTGAATAAATAATCACTACAATTTGTATTGTTGCCATTTTTGGAAATACTTAAAATCTAGGACCAATCTTCAAACAAAAAAGGTACCTACTCTCAGACTGGACATCAGTGTTAAATGTAACATTATATTCTTCAAAGAATTAGTAATTAGTGGTTTTAAAAATACTAACATTTAATAGACAAAATGCTCAAAAATTGAAAATGTCAATGTTTTTAACAAGTATTCGTTTTTTTATCAGTCATCATCAAGATTTTATTACAATAATGTAAAAAAATAATTGTAACCAAACCAAACAATGTATTCCTACATTAGCAAAACGTTTATAATTCTTTTTTTTTTTTGACGACCGCAACCGTGGCGCAGTGGCTTAGCTTATGAGTGGCTGCGCTGGGGATCGCGGGTTCGAATCCCGCACGGAACAAGTATTTGTATGGCCTACAAGTAATTGTTCCGGGTCTGGATGTTTGTCCTTGTGCAATTTATGCTTGTAAACTGCCCCCACGATACAGGAGAAAATCTTAGTGTAGGGGTAACGTTTTAAAAAAAAATCATAAAAAATGACACAATTCTTTATGCAACTTAATATCAATACACTAAATTGAAAATATGAAAAATACTGAGTAGTAATAATATTAATAATACCCGACAACGCAGTAAAAATAATAAAGACTTCATTTTACCTTTTATGAAGATGATTGGATTTACAATTCATTTGGTAATATCATAAATACAAACATACTTACATAGAATGTCAAGTACAGAACCCTTCCTTTGCATCGCCGTAATCGGTTTGAAAGTGATTAACTTTGGTTGTAGCAAAACATGGCAAAGTAACCGTCACATCGTTGCGTCACTAGTATGGTAACTTAGCCAAGTCAATTTTGTAGATTAATGTTAAAACCATGTTAAAAACGAATTAGAATTCCTAACCACAATTGGCATTACGTTTTACAAAGATGTAGAATACCTAAATTCAGTATTTCAAACAAAATCAACAAAAGTTTTAGAGCACTGTACAAGGATGTTATAATGTCGCCGGTGGAACTCCGGGTTAAAATAAAATACCAAAATGAACTCTCATGTTGCCATATCTAAAATAATGCTGTCAATTAGATATTAAAATATAAAATATATGTACTTGTACATCCCTGATGACAAAGTTATCTTTCATTGGTAAAGATGCTGATTCGACTGTAAGTACCCAAATTTTTATTTTAATAATATTTCGAAGAGACGTGAAGTTCGCACAAACTGGAATAACGTGACGGAATAATTGCTGCAAAACGTTCCCAAAGAAGAGACCTGTGCCCATCAATGGAACGTATATATACATACATACGTACATACATAAACACTCACGCCTGTCACCCAGAGGGGTAGGCAGAGACTACGGACTTCCATTTGGCACGATCCTGACATACCTCTTTCGCCTCCTTTACATCCATATATCTACGCATACATGCTCGTCGGTTAAGGGTACTTCTAACGTGGCCCCTTTTCAAAATATCGCCAATTTGGTCGATAAACTTTTTTCTAGGGCGTCCCTTCCCGACTCGGCCATTCACATCTGCCATATAAATTTGCTTTGTCACTCTTTCCTCATTCATTCTTTCTACATGACCAAACCAAAACGTATATATATGCTCCAATTTTACTTTACTTATAAATCTTTTTCCTTTGTCTTGTATAAAGCTTTCCCGAAACGGTATGCCGATGTATCCACGCTGTATGGACACTCAGATCCGACGGGGCGCATCGTAGGCGGGTCCGTGGCACCTGAAGGCAGCATTCCCTACATGGTGGCGCTGACCAACGGCCTGCTGTTGCGCAGCTTCCTGTGTGGAGGCTCCCTCGTGAGCACCCGTCATATCCTTACTGCTGCCCATTGCATTAACGCTGTCTTCTCTTTTGGATCACTGAGCAAGTATGTATTGTATATAGCAAACATTTGGTGGCGGGTATTTAACAAATTAATCAGCTAACGCTAATATAAGAAATACCGGTGAAATATCTATGCCGTTTAAACATATATAATATAATATTTAATATGTTTTGTTTGTAATACATTAGTACACACTATACAGGGTTATTTTTCAAAGAATAGCCAAAATTTAAACATAAATAAATATATAAAAACTTAATTAAGTATATGATGTATATGATAGTCAGAAGACATAATTGCACCTGCCACAAAATCTCATCACTCTGCGACCTGACTATCAGAGAATGCCGGTAGGCATTAAGTCCATAAAGGTGATAACAATAAGGATAAAATAAAAAGATAAATAAAATAAAATCATGTTGGCATGTCCGTCTAGTGGAATCCCCCCTTAAGAGCCATGACAGCTCACCAGCTTGTGGGCACAAAACTTCTGTTACCTACGGATTGACGGTTAATTAAATATAAAGTCAAATTGAGGAACTTTTCTTAAGTCGGCTAAAAAGTCGGGTACGGCTGTGTTGGGGCACACGGCCGTTTAACGCCCGTGTAGTACGCGGTTGACCGAGCTTTGCTCGGTATTTTTCGCTCGGTTTTTTTTTAATTCGTGTGTTTTGGAAATTATATTTAGATACAAATTACATACTGATGAAATACGAATAATATTTTTTGATCTTAGCGACATAATAGAAAAAACTGAACATTTGAATAAAAAATCATGAGTGCAATTAGTTTAATTTAAATTTTCGTGTTTTTAAAAAATACTAAAAAAAGGGCTAGAAAAAATAGATTTTCACAAAAAGGAAAGGAATTTGAAAAAAAAAATTAAAAAAAATCGGTCGGTCGGTCTGGGCTCGAACCATGGTATTACGATTTTGTGACCGCCCAAAATACCAATTAAGTTATTTGTAATCACTAATAAATTGTCAAAATTTACCTTCTTATTCTAACGATATTGTAGCTGTTTTTCATTGCTTAAAAATACGGACAAAAAGACATTTTCTAAAAATAAATCCTAGCTAGATCGATTTATTGCCCCCGAAACTCCCTGCACACAAAATTTTATGAAAATCGTTGGAGCCGTTTCCGAGATTCCGATTATATATTATGCAAGCTATTTTTATGTACTTATATATTTTAAGGTTTAACGTAAAATGTCTATGTTTGCGAGTGGCTTTTAGTATTAAAGATGAGAAAGAGCGTCGATTTTGGGCTTCTGCTTTTCTCGCAAACTCTGATGCAAACTCAAAGTCGTAACGGTGAGCTGACTATACTTATATAAGTTAAATAATGGCTTACACTTAGGTCACTAAAATTTAATTTTTTTTTTTGTAATTTTAAGACAAGACGATGTAGACCTTTTCGATACGGTTCACTTGATACCCGTATGTTTCGGTGTAATATTAAAGACGTTTCACGTCAAAACAATCTATACGGAATTTTCCAAATGTCTCTTCTTTATAACTTTTATGATGATATAAGTTTTAGAAAGGTTGGTTTAACATTTAAATATCGTTGATGTCCAGTACGCTTCGTGCAACTGTGGGCACCAACCGTTGGAACCTCGGTGGAACTAACTACAACATAGCAAGGAATATCACCCACCCCAACTACGTGCAGGCGGCCATCAAGAACGACATTGGTCTACTGGTTACCTCCACTAACGTTGCCCTCTCTAACACGGTGGGGATCGTCGCCTTGAACTATGATTTCATTGGTGCCAATGTCGCTGCAAGAGTTTCCGGATGGGGTAGAATTAGAGTGAGTTATATTTTTATTCCTCAACCATACCTGCCTCGCATTTCATTAATGCGAAGTTATTTAGATTTAAGTTAATCGAAGACCAAAATAAGAAGTTTTGATCAGTTTTTCTTTAAGTTAGACGTGTACTTATACACGTCATACTTACTACTAGAAACTACTACTATATTACTAACAGAAAACCTGATCAGACTGATTCTAACCTTAGACGGAACTTGTATCAAAATTTGATGGGGGCCCAAATGAAGGGTAAAGATTTTACGCAAAAGGAACAAAAATGCTCGCATTGAATTAAAATATTTATAAATTGATTATAAATTATAACTTACAGTTAATACTTCTAGGAACTGTTGTGTCATTGTCATTCACTTAAACGGGGGAATAACATGTATGCTGACCGGCACATGTTGCGGATTTAGTAATCTGTAAAAAGTAAAATTACAGCCTATATACCGTCCCACCGTTGGGCACAGGCCTACCCTCATTTCTGAGAGGGTTTTAGGACAAGAAAGTGTCCGCGCGCTGCCCCAATGCGCGTTGACGAACTTCACACGTCTTCGAAATATTTTTTTTCTTATTCCTCAGACATGCAGGTTTCCTCACGATATTTTCCTTCACCGCCGAGCACGTGGTAAATCAGCACTTTAAATTGCAATTAACAATTTCATTGGTGCCGGCGGGGATCGAACCCGGGTTACTCGCGTTCTGCTATATTTACAGCGAGCGTTAACCATCTGAGCTACCACGGCTTTAGTAATCTGTAGCGCAGGTCAATGATGAAGTGAGGTGAGACGTGTTGCCAACTTTTGGGCGCTCATTCGACCCGGGGAAAAAGAGATCCCATTTTTGGGAACGTTTTTTGGAAGTACGGCCTAAGAGTTAAAGTGTGATTGTGAATAATATTTTACGAGTTTTTGTGCTCCGAACGTGTGTAACACGTTCCTCGTATCATTGATTTTTTTATTTGATTGATATGACTGATCTAGGCAAGGGCGTAGATACGGCGGTAGCTACGCCCTTCCCTAGATCCCTCCTGGAGTTGCTCTGTATTTGTTTGTAAAGTTCCATGACATTACAGATAGACAAACATTTGAAAAATTGTTATTTATGTCTTAGTAGCATGCAAATAACCCCCCGAACTTAATAGAAGCCTGAAATTAATTAAAGTCAGGCACTTAATTTTTTTAACATGTATAATTTTTTATTCTATTTTTTTCTGTTTGTAATGGTCCATTGCTGGACATATTTTTTTTTATTAAAGTGACAAGCAAACTTATAGCCACGTGACGGTATATGGCGACTGCAAATCATGGACACTTGCACCTGACTTCAAGAAAAGAAGGCTGCAGATGCGTTGTCACCTTTGAGATTTTAGATGGAATGCTCCACAGTCTGCATACTGACCCTACATCTGGCGATGTTTTACCGAAAGTTAAAAATAAGGTGTACGAAGTAGCAGCGTATGGTATAGATATTATTCAAAAATTATTTTAAAAGAGTTGACTTTTTAATTTTGAATTAGAAAAGGGAATAAAAATAAAGGAATTTAAATCATGTGCACCCCACTTTATGCGTGTCAAATATTAACGAGTTTGTACCGCCTTTGAACGGGCCGCTATATAAAAGCTTACCTCAATTTCGTAATATTGTTCAATTCAATCAAAATACAATGAATTTGAGAAATACATATACCATAACGTTCTATAACAACTTTTGATTCGGTAAAACATGTCACATACATTCGTCAGAGCAGAACACAACATTACACTGTTGTTTGGCGGTAAAAAAGAGACATCATCACAACGAGGCTCCTTTTGTAAGAAGTTTTTGCCACGTTTGTCACGTGGTGCCACTGTAAGAGAATCCATTACCTCGTATAAAATTAACTGCTGGGTAGGACAATAGCTAAAATGGCTAAATCGCGGGTTGGCTAACGTAGTTTATGTTGTTGGTTGGCTTAGCAATGAGTGGCTGAGCTGGGGGCCGCGGGTTCGAATCCCGCACGGAACAAGTATTTGTATGGTCTACAAATAAATGTTCCGGGTCTGGATGTTTGTCCTTGTGCAATTTATGTTTGTAAACTGCCTCCACGATAAAGGAGAAAATCCTAGTGTGGGGGTAACGTTTTTTAAAATAAATAAAAAAGAAGAAAAAAGAATTTTATTTTCTAGTTGTTATAAGGAAGAAGTTGTTGCTTATCTCCCGGTTTGTTATTTGTTAAACTTTTAATAAAAAGTAAAAACCGACTTTAATTTCAATTTTAAAGTTTGACTTCGCCGCGTTTGGCTTGAATCCCACACGAAACAAGTTTAGTTTTAGTCCTACAAATAAAAGTTCCGGCTCTGGATGCTTGTTCGTGTGCAATTTATATATGTGACCTCCATGACACAAGAGAATCGCAGTGTGAGAATAAAATTTCTAATATTATCAAATTATGCGTTACAGTCACTCATAAAATTGAAAATAATATTTGAAGAAATTAATAATTACCGTATAGTGGCGGTGTAAGATTATCCACTACCCCGTGTAGGGTTGCCAGGTCTTAAACCGAGAAGCCGGACAAACCAACGAGCTTAGCCGGAAATTTTGGCAAAAAACCCGGACACGCTTTAACTTTCTCGTAGTATAAAATGACAATTTAACTATTATAACGTATTAAAACAATGTTTTTAACACTTACCATAAAATATACTTAAAAATTGTAATGGAATAACAAAAAATTGAATAAGTCAGTCTTCCTATTTATTAATCATTCAATAATTACATTACAATAATTACAATATTATGTATTTAAGTAAATGAAAAATATAAAAAATAATCAAATTTAAAAAGCCTAAAAATGCCGGACAGGCCGAACACCGTCTAATTTGGCCGGTCACGCAACTAAAAAGCCCGACTGTGTCCGGCTTTATCCGGACGCCTGGCAACGCTAACCCCATGTCATGGAACCCGTAGGTGTCCTAAGAGGCGATAGAGGGAAATAAATCAGGAGATGGGCAGCAGCATCTTCCTTATCACGGTAACTGTAAAAATTATATCGACCCGTCGGTGTCGTAAGATGGAGATCCAGAAAGATCTAAGGAATATACCAGATAAACCATTTGAATAGTCCAGCATTGAACTGTTACGGGCTGATATTGAAGTAGAAATAGAACAGTAGTTATCACTCTTCTTTTGTAATAAATATCTAATATCTTGGTGCTTCGCTTGCAGCAAAACGGTGCGCTGTCTGCGGAACTCCTTCAACTAACCAAAACCACAATAGACGGCTCGCTCTGTGTCAGTGAAGTGGCTCGTATTGCGAACCAGTTCAACATCAATGCCCCACCTGTGGAGCCGCACATTGAACTTTGTACCTTCCACTCCATAGACCATGGCACTTGCAACGTAAGTAACATTTCAAAAGTAATTATTAACAATTCAAATTCAATTTTTTAAAGATATATTCTATCTCCTGTAAATAAATAAATTTAAATTAGAATTTTACTCATTTGATGTGTTAGTCGTATTTCCTCCATCGATTTTCGAATTCTTTCTTTTACTTACTTGTTACGATACATTATGTCACAGAATAGGGTGAAATGGGCACCACACAATCCTGGAGTGGGGACATTCGGGAACTTTCTTTGCTTTACTGTTTTTCGTATGCATCAAGATCTTACATTCTATAATCACCTCTTTTTGCCAACTTAATTGCCAAACAGGAGTGTATCTTAACTAACTTACTTAACCTAACTTACTCAATCTCCTTGCCTCCGAAAAAGTTGTTGTAAGTATAACCATCCTAAAATTTCCAAACATACATTTTGTCCCTTTTACCGAGTGGTGGCGCCACAAGAGTATACATCAGAACCTTTGAGTATTAAACCAACCAAAGATCAAAACATTTGGTCTCGTGGGCGTCGTATGTGGTATTATAGGAATCGCCAGAAAAATGCTATGACTTTCGATGTATAGCGGTCATCGTGTTTATGTTACGACGACGGGTTAAAAGTACGATTCACCTTGTGCTGCAGACGTCAATCTTTTTGTACGAGCTGCTGTGCTGTACAATCTTAGAAGTTGTTAAAATTGATAGACAATTGAACAGATTATTTAATTTATTCTGATATTATTGATAATGAGTACAGTGCGCGGCGGCGGATGACTGCGTACTGAATTGATGAGAATGAATAATGATACGAGTACAATAAGGTAAAAATGTGCAGAAATGTGCGGTTTGTAAAGACCGTACACTTTCTACCAAGATTGATTACGGCAAATTGAATAAAACGATTTATACAGATTTTATCGCGTTTAATTACTTATTTTCAATTCCCCACATTTCATGTGCTTTGCAGCACCCATGTACACGAGGGGGCGGGGGGGGGGGGTTCTGAAATGATTCGATCTACGCAAATATTCTTTAAACTAAAGGTCGGGCTAACGGAGACATTGGGACGTCAAATGTCTCAGTCCTTGTGACCATGGGTGCTGTAGCACATGAAACGTCGGGAATAAAAATAAGTTAATTAAACTCGATAAAATCCGCATAAATAGTTTTATTCAATGTGTAGTGTTCGCGTAAATTTAAAAAATGATTACGGCAAATCTTTAATAATAATAATAATAATAATAAATAACGTTTATTAGCAACCAAATACGTCTAAATACAAAGGAGCTCTGTCTCCTGAACTAGGTTATCACCTGTATCTCAGGAAACAGTGCCTTCCCTAATTCTTAGTTCTAGGTCTATATTCGGCAAGTACATAAGACAATTTATTATTCTTTAATATTAATTTATAAGCCGTTACTGTTACATACTGTTTAATGTGTTGTTTATTGTTGTTGTGCGTATGTGCGGAAGTGTGGCGCTCGCGTGCGCGCGCGCTTGTGTGTGTGTGTGTGTGTGTGTGTGTGTGTGTGTGTGTGTGTGTGTGTGTGTGTGTGTGATTGTGTCTGTGCGTGTTTTAATGATTGTATTTTATTTAGATATTGTAAGAAGATTTTCAGTTTGGACATAGTCAAGATTTTGCAACCATTTCAATACATATTTTTTAAATCTATTGGTGCTTAGAGTTATAAGGCTAACAATATTCTCAGTGGGAATTTTATTATATATGTATGGTGCTATGAAATTGTAGTGTCGTTGCATAAAGGTGGTTTTGGTAGTGGGTATAGGGCACCGAAATCTTCTTTTACTGGTTCGTGGTAGTGAGTAGGCAGTTACACGGTGGTATCTCAGGAGAGCTTGAATTATAAACAACTTGCGAACTGAGAGTACCTGAGTCTCGTTGTAGACTTTATTAGTAGGATGTCGGTACGGTAGGTGCATTAGTACTTTTAAAATTGCTCTTTGCGCGCGTTCAAGTTGAATCAATGTTGTTTTTGGTGCGCTACCCCACGTCGTCACACAATAATTAATGATACTTTGGCAGAGCGCTTTATATGTCTGAATAAGAATTTTTTTACTAGCGACTGTTCTTAGTTGTCTAAATATATATATAAGTCTTCTAACCCGAGAACAGATGCTAATGATTTGTTCTTTCCAGCTCAAATTATCATCTACTTGAATACCTAGGTATCTAATACATCTGGCTCTAGTTAATGTGCTGCAATTGCATTGGCTAGTAAGCTTTCCATTACATGGTAAAGAATGTAGTGTGATTGTAAAGTCTTGAGCTGGACCTGAAGTTGCAGACCTCGAGAAGCAGAGGTATTTGGTCTTTGAAATATTTAGTGTGAGTAAGTTATTCTCTAACCAAGCTGAGACATTCTTAAAACAGGTTTCTGCAAAAGTTTGTACTTGTTTCCAACTCTGCCCATGAAATAGTAAGACAGTGTCATCAGCAAATATTAGCACTTCCGTATTAGATGTTAATGCGTTTGGAAGACTATTAATATACGCCAAGAAGAGAGTCGGGCCTAATGTACTGCCCTGTGGAATACCGAATCCACAGGTTGAGGCGTCACTTAGGTCTTTATTCACTCTAACGTATTGCTGTCTACCTGCCAAGTAACTATGGAACCATTGGTATACATGACCGCGGATGCCCAAGCCCTCTAGTTTAGACAATAGTATCGGAATTGATACTGTGTCAAAAGCTTTCTTTAGGTCAAGAAAAACACCAATGACCTTCTCTCCTCTATCAACATAATAGGTAATTAAAGATGTCAACTTCAATAAGGCGTCATCCGTTGACCTTCCTTCGCGAAACCCATACTGATAATCAGTTAATAGTTTGTTTTTCTCTAAATAAATAATCAACCTACGGTTGATCAACCCTTCCACAATTTTTGACATGGTAGACAGCATAGAAATCGGTCTATAGTTCGAGACATCTTGTTTGTCCCCCGTTTTAAAAATTGGAGACACGATAGCCGTTTTAAATAAATCGGGAAATATTCCCTGTTCTAAGCTAAGATTACAAAGATGTGCAATTGGATATACAAGGTACTTTTTTGCCAATTTGACAAACCTAGTGGAAATGCCGTCATGACCTGGTGCACTGTCAGATTTTAGATTATTTATTATTTTATTAATTTCATATGGGTCTGTGGGTACGAAAGACATAGATTGAAGCCGAGAGTTTGATTGTACAAACGCTTGCCTTGCTAATTCGAGCTCCGTTTTATTTAGTTTCTGTAGGATGACGTCCGCCAGACCACCAGATCTTTAAAAGTCAGAGGTCCACAAGTCCAGAAAAAAAACGGAAGTAATTTCCAAGCACCTCGTCAAATGGCAATTTTTATCATTTCAGGGTGACAGTGGCAGCCCACTGGTTCGAGTAGACAACAACCAGCAAATCGGTGTAGTGTCTTGGGGAGTGCCTTGTGCGAGAGGTGCACCAGACATGTACTCACGTGTCAGCGCCTACGGGACCTGGCTGCAACAAAATATTGTATAAATAAATATATTTAACTGAAATGTTGTTTTTTTTATATATACTCGATTAAGAATAAAAATTCAGATGCGTTATCATCCCCGAGGATTAAGTTGGAGTACCTCGTATCCAATAAAAAGACGTCATTTTCGGCTATTTGTGACAATAGCGAAATTTTAATTTAATTGGAAGCCATCAACGCTTGTAGTGGCGGTGTAAGAATATCCACTACCTCATAACATCCCGTGGGTGTCGTAAGTGGCGACAGGGAAACAAATCAGTTATAAGTTATAACCAGAGATCGGAATTGGGTGTGTGAATACCTAAAGTTTGCAGCGGGACATAACATGGAGCTGTTACAACCACTTAAGTTGAACCGGTTTTGAATTTTACCGGTTCAATTTCGGTTTTTTTTTTTTTTGTTTTACATGTTCTTTACTTTTGCAACACTAAACTATAAATATTTGGAAGTGCTAATACAGTTTTTTAATTAATTTTTGTTTTGAACTTTTCCGGTTCAAATTCAGTTTTTTAGTTCTACTTGTTCTGTATATCTGAAACACCGAATTTTATACGTCTGCTAGATATATATTGCTAACCGAGAAGGGATTTATTTTAACCTACTTCAAAAAAAGGATGAGGTTCACAATTAGACTGTATTTTTTTATGTATTTATATTACTCCATTATTCCGTTAATTAAAAATAATCTTTGTTGATTCTTTTTTGTTAGGTAGGTCAATTTTCAGAGGTAGTCTCATATAAATTTTATATATTTTGAAAAAATTCAAAAAAATCATTTGATTACGCTGTAACTGCGGTCAGCTCGAGAAAAGATTGGCGACTGAATTGTGGCCGGTAGTAAGAAGTAAAACAGTAAATAATGTATAAATAGGGAAAGTCGGTGCAGGGAAGGTTGATTTGTGGGAATTTAAGGTTCATCTAGACTAAGAATAGTGATTGATTTGTTAGGACCAGGGTGATCCATCTTTGTATGAAATCCGATAAATTTGCACACGATCATAATTTTGTTTATGTGTGAGTTGGGCGTGTAAAAATAAAGCGAGAAAAATATATCTTTTTCTTTCCTTCGCGTTGTTTAAGCCATTTTAAAATTAGATACAAATATACATTATTATTATATCGAAGGAAACTGAAAATGTTAATTCTGTGCTATATTTTTTTCTGTTAGCGCCTTACAGCAATTACAACTTGTTCACTCCAAGAACGCCGTTACCTCCCGCCGCGCTCCCTCACTCCGCGTCTCAAGCGTCGTTCTATTAGTACCGATAGCAGCGCCTTCGTAATGTTTTACGTATTTAAAACATTTTAAATGTAAAACAAAACTATAAAAACGTAATTATAATATTTTATAATTGTATCGAACACGTTCTAATTCACTGTTATTATTTCACTTCACTAAATAAAAATTTTTATAGTATGAATTTTATCTACTTGTTTGCTCTCAATTTCTGTCTACAGGACAACAAGCTACTTACTTAGTTTTGCTCAATTTGACAAAGAACAGTCATCATGTGTATGTGATGTAATAGATAAATAGATAAACATGATATTGTTTTTGTCTACGGTACCGATAGTTATGATGTCATAACGATCAACGACGGCAAACTTGAAATGAACGCGTAGTAGGTATATTATACATATTACTCTAAGGTTTGCACAATTAATTGACCTATTAATTTATTAAAATTAAGTTATTAGGTAAATAGTAGCAGAATCATATTAAGATAAGCCATGAATTAAGAGAAGAAAAATATTATATTTGTTAGTCACCATCTTTCGTGTTGAAAAATTTTCTCAAACTGCGAGTATTTCGTAGGCGTTGATTTTAATATTTATTATTTGTTTTTTGCTTAATCGTTGTTATTGTTGGTTCAAAATACTTAGTTTTCGTTTGTAGGCATTTCCTTGCGATTGTGTATGTTAAGATTTTTTGTGAGATGTTGACTCTGTATGGGATATTGATATATGACTATAAATTAATTCATTATTTTTGCACGATGTGAAATCAGAGTCGAAAATAAGCTAAGTGTAACGTGCCAACAAAAAGCACAAAATTATCTTATCACTTACAACGGACGGTTTCCTACAATAGAACAAGAAAAACTTATGACAATATTGTGGTATAAGTCTTTAAACATTTTGAATTTATTGACCATTATTTATGGGGATTATTACTATATTGACTCGAATTTTATCTGTTTCGGATCATTTATTTGGGTTGAGTTATATATAAAATAACTAGCTTGCCAGGAATACGTTGTTCCGTTTTCGACGACAATTTGTCATATCCTATTAAAAATCCTTAAATTCGAAAAAAATAAATTATGGGCAAAAAAAACTATCCAATCTCTCAAGTTGCACCAAACTGCACACGGTGTGCAAATTTAATTAAAATCGGTTTAGTAGTTTAGGAGTCCATCGCGGATAAACAACGTGACACGTAATTTATATACATAAAAAATCTAAATAGCATAGAAATAATGTATGTCGCTACTAAGAAAGTAGGTACTTCATCATCATCATCATTACAGCCCTTCCCAAGGTTCCTGCTGAACATAGGCCTACCCAAGGTATGCCACAAAGCACGATCCTGAGCCACCTGCATGTCTTACCAGGTCGTCACTCCATCTAGTGGGGGGTCGCCCTACACTTCGCCTACCGGTACGAGGCTGACACTCGAGAACCTTTTTTCTCCAACGGTTGTCGGTTCTTCGAGCTATATGGCCGGCCCATTGCCGCTTCAGCTTACTAATCCGTTGGGCTATGTCGGTCAATCTGGTTCTACTGCGGATATCCTCATTTCTAAGTTTATCACGCAGAGAAACTCCGAGCATAGCCCTCTCCATAGCTCGCTGAGCGACTTTGAGCGTCCTCATACGGCCAGCAGTGAAGGACCACGTCTCGGTTCCGTAGGTCATCACTGGCAACACGAATATACCTATACCTGACAAGAAGATGCGTCATAATTTCCCGAACGCTTCCAAGCCGAGTTGAATCCGTCGATTGACCTCTCGGTCGAAGTTGGACTTACCTAATCGGACTATTTGTCCCAGGTAAACGTTACTGGTCAACAACTTTGAGCTTAGTGCTCCCAACAACTACCGGCATAGGTGTGACATAGACATTAAAAATGATCTTTGTTTAGTCCATGTTCATCTTAGGACCTATCCGTTACGAGGCACTATTGAGGTCATTGAGCATAGTGCTGAAGTCCTCCAGCGATTCTGCCGTAAGGACTATATCTTCGGCAAATCGAAGGTGAGTGATGTACTCGCCATTGATGTTAATACCCTATCCTCTCCAGTCCAGTAGCTTGAAAAGGTCTTCCAATGCAGCGGTGAAGAGTTTCAGGGAAATAACGTCACCCTGTCTTAAACCTCTCTGCAGTTGGATAGGTTTTATACTCTGTTTCTGTACTCGGATAGCCATCATAGCCCTACTGTACAAACACTTCAGCACTTTGATATACCGACAGTCAACTTGGCACCGCTGAAGAGACTGTAGCACCGCCCAAATTTCGACAGAATCAAAGGCCTTCTCATAGTCCACATACGCCAGGCAAAGTGGCAAATTGTACTCTTCGGACTTCCGTACAATTTGCCGAAGGGTATGTATGTGGTCTATGGTACTAAAGCCTTTTCGGAAACCGGCTTGTTCGGGAGGCTGGAAGTCGTCGAGTCTGCGTGCGAGACGGTTCGTAATGACTCTCGAAAACAGCACTTAGACGCGGCTCAGAAGGGATATCAGTCTGTAGTTCTTTAAGAGGGCGTTGTCACCTTTCTTGAAGAACAAGACCACCGCACTTCTGCTCCACGCCTCGGGAGTAGTGCCTCCATGAAGGACGGAATTAAAGAGCTTCTGAAGGACTTCAAGTACCGGTTTTCCATCCGCTTTCAGAAGCTCCGCTGTAATTCCATTCCCCTGGGACTTGCCGTTTTTAAGGTGCTGGAGAGCCATTCTAATCTCGCTCCGACTGACGTCCGGGATATCATTGGAGTAGTGTCGGATAAGACTCGCTCTTGGATCGTTACTCACACTTGCGTGTGGCTCCGACGATGATGTGTACAGCTGCCCATAGAACCTCTCAATCTCATTTAGAATCTCAGGTGTCCCGGAAACGATGCTGTCACACTCAGTCTTTAGCTTTGACAGTTGGCTCTTACTGACAGACAGATCTCTGGCAAAGACTTTGGAGCCCTGGTTCCGCTCAATCGCTTCTTCAATACGATCTGTATTGAAGTTGCGGAAGTCCTGCCGCATGTGCAGATCTGTCTGTTCAGTTGCCTGTATGCTGTCAAATCTGCTGACGACTGCAGCTTCATCGCCCGTCTAACATCCATAAGATTAAGAGTGTGATCGGAGAGTTTTTGTGTTCTTCTGCGGCGTTTTAATTACTGGTAAGTATGTACTTAGCAGTAATTAAAACGAACTGAAGCCAGTGGATTACGGCGCGCCCGGAAAACTCCGTGGAGTGCCATCAGTTAAAAATTTCAACTTAAGATTTCGCACTCACGATCAGTTTTCGGATGCACGTCAGTTCAACTAATCATTTTAACTGACCGTGTGTGGCCTATATAAAGAAATGTATAAAAAAAATTCTTTTTTTTCTCGCTTAAGCACATTATTAACTAAAGAGTATATTATCTAAAGAATATTTAAAAAAATATATTTTATAATTTATTCTTTTTCTTTATAAGGAGTGGGGCTTGGACGAATTAACCACTATTTTATTCATATTTGTTCGCGACGGCCTAACAACCTTAAGAAACGAAGTGATAAAGAATATTGTTTTATGTATTAATAGTGAAATTACCAAGAAAACTGAGTGAAAACGTGTATTAATATAGTTATTTAGCATATTTATAACTCTCAATATATTTGTATAGAATGTCGTTTTGATAACAAGTAATATAAACAACTTTTATTATATACCAAAAAATCGACCAATCACAGCGCGTCTTATCGTGGAACTCTCTAGAAGTTTTTTAATTAACTGCGTAAT